GGTGCTGGATCTAGGGGTGGTAAATCAACCTTTAAAATAAGATTACCCCATAAAAAGAAGGGAGACAGTGACTATAAGATCAAATTTGATCTACATTATATATATATATACATATGTATATATATATGATATACCGATATACCCAAATGTAGGTTAATCCACAAACAGGCGGTGATATGCGGCTACAAGATCAAATGCGTGTCCATACGCCAAAAAAATGAGCTAACCCTAGACAAAAAGTTGGTATAGCTGGGATTCACCCACCGATGATATCATGAAGTTCGGAGCTTAAGCAACACCAATCTGCACAAAATGGTAGTATCATGTGACGTAGCTGGGTTGCTGAAGCGAAATCATGTATCAAGCTGGCTGAATCGCAAAATGGGAGAGGCAGGAGGCCAAAAAGTGGCGTCGTTTTTCGCGGCCGCCAGGTGTTTGGAGCAATGGCTTCTTCCACGGTCCGGGAAGACATGGGATAACAATGTCCTGGTTGAAGACGATTTTTCCCCAACGGGAAATCCACTACTTGGATCCTGGAGGGAATTTCCACTACAAAAGTAGTGGACTTGGGTCCTATGTGACATAGGTTTTTCAATGGTTTTTACAGCCCCCCTAGGACCATGCGTCCTTGCATTTTGTAGTAACCCTAGGTCACATATGTTTCTAGATTCAAACATGGGCTGAAGTTTGTAGTGGTTAAGTATGCGAGATAATAATCGACCCAAAATGGATTTCTGAGTTCACTCAGATTTGGCCTAAAAGTACTTTGTAATGAATTTGTGGGGTTCCAAGATCAATGTTCTGAAATCAGCTGGGTTTGACCCCTGAAGAACTTTGTAGTGTTTCTTGGGGAATCTTTATGAGATGCCACATGCATATACATACATCAATCAATAATATATGCATCCGCATTCTATGTCGGTGTAATTGGGCTCAATATGGACATCAGGATTTCCAAAGTGCCACAGGTGGATTGAAGTGCCACAGTGGATGTCAGTGGTGTATACCCAAAAAACACTACAAACTACTTTGTCGTTTTTTTGGATTGATCTTGAAGACTCAGTGGGATCTACTTAAAAATCACTACAAACATCTACGTGGTTTTTTCAGGGTCTCTTGAAGACCTCTTGTTAGATCCTTTGGTTTTTGTAGTAACCCTTTATCCAGGCTGGGGTTGCACTTTTGTAGTGATTTTTTTTTTGGCCTGGGCATGGAAAATGTAGTGGGAGGGGTTGGGCAGAGCTACTTTACAGCTACAAAATCTTGACCCAACAGTCCTCCCCAAATACCAACCCCGATCTACTTGGGGGAATCCAGAGGGGCTATTTGTATGTTGCAGGGATTCTTTCAGCCCATCCAAGATGTTCCAATTCCTTTTCTTGGGGGATGCAAGTTGAATTTGAGGAAAGGTATGATCTATTGAAGGGCTTTATCTCATAGATGTTGTCAACCAGGGTGAAGACAGGCGTCAAATCATGGTTGGATCAGCGTCTGCTTCATTACCAGATTGCAGGATAGCGACCCCAAAAAGTATAGGCGGTAAACTTCGGATAGTGATCACTTCTTTGTTCAAATTGCATGCCCCAAGGCTACAACGGTTGGATTTGGGCATCTGCTTGCAACAATGCCTTTGGAGGCACGGTCACACGCAGCCGCGGATTTTGCAATGCATTCTGCCCCCAAGGTAAAGGCTTCTTGAAAAGTTCAAACCAGCTTTGAAGCCGCTATTGCTTTTGCAATGTGCAGCGCGCGTTTTTGAAAAGAAGGACCGAACCTGATGGGCCACCCTGTTGACCGTTCCCAAATGTCCATGCGGGAAACCCGCTTCTGAAGTTCATGATCCGCAGATAAACCAATTGGGGATCCTTAAAAGCACTAAGCATTAAATACCAGAAACCCAATGGGTGGCAACCTGCTGGCAAGGTCTACTCATAGCCGTTGGGAAGCTCAGCGGTGCGCAGTTAGATGACATGCTCAAGGCTATGTCCAATCCTAAGTAGACTGTCTGGTCCGGAGAAGGCCGACAGTATCAGGGTTTGCTTGGCAAAAACCACCTTTTTTGTCAGCTTTTTTTGGTTGCAGATCCATTGTGAAGTATCTTATCCCTCATCTCTAAGGTCAAATAAATACAAGTTACCAGAAGGTACCAGCAATCCTTCACTCCAGCCGACCCTTGAGATCGCAGCTTCAGGTGGATCATCCATTGTATCCATACAGTACTGCATCAGCCCCCATAGAGTCACGTAAAGTAAGCGTAAAGTACTCATCCATGTAAACCCTAATTTGTACTGGTTGAACATTCTTTACTTCATCATTTTGATTTTGGTAGCCTATTTCAAAGGATGCATCATCCACTCCCGATGTCAGCCTGCGCAAGTTTAACCATTAAACCTCATTTTGGTTTGTCAATCCCCCCAACCTTTGCTAGTTAGATTCCATTTTTTGAGCTAAATGCCCAAGAAGCTCCATTTAGAGATGGCTAAACCCCCATTTCAACCATTAAGTCCCCATATAAACCCGGGTATCATGGTATCATCCACCGTTGCTGCGCGGTCCCAGGCAGTGATCAAATACGCCGACAACATCCTGAAGAACTTCGCCACATCCGTGTCGATAGTGCCTGCACCCAGGTTCTCATGGCTCCTTACGTCGGCAAACGATTGCATTCAAAGCCAGCCTTGAAAAGATAGAAGCAGTTCAATTTATCGCGATTTGTTTGTAGGATTTTACTTGTTTCTCTTTTTGGGCGATACTACAACATATGTACAATGCATGTGCTTGAATAAACATACATACATAGTCATACATACATATACATACATAGTCATACACTACATACCTACATACCTACATACATACATACATGCATGTGTCTTTTGAATTTGTTTCTATATAAATATATGCGTGTGTATCTACATATATATATATGTATGTATATATATATACACATACAATACATATTTATTTACTTATATAAGGATATAAATTGAGGGACATGGCCAAGAAGTGATTGCCGGCAACCCAGGTGTTGACCACGGCCCTGTCGATCCAATACTTCGGTTTGGAACTCACCATGACGTTCCTCACGGGCGTGGTTATAGTGTGCCACCAGTTGCAGCTTCAGTCGAGGGTGGTCAGTGGTACGGGCCATGGCGGCTATCATCGTATTTCTGGGGTCCAAATTCATCCAGTCTTTGGAAGTTCTCTAAATATTACCTTACACCCATTTACAGGAGGAAAATCCATGGTAAAACCTAGAATAGACCACGGCGTTAACGGGGGAGGTGTCATCAATTGAAGCTGGGATGCTTCACTTTCAGGGGCCTCCACTGGAGGTGCTGCCGTCCGCATGGAAATGTAAAGGTATATACCGGTTGTTGGACATGCCATTGGCTCAATTTTGGCTCAGCGGTTTTTCCTCGTCACCCACATCTGGCTTCACACGGCTCCCCAGGCCTTGGGGAACGGCCACTGCCCACTGCAGGTGCTATTCCATTTTCCTCTATGGCCAGATCCCGATCTTTTTCAGGACCAAGGCCTCGATGAAATCAGTGACATATGTCCTTCGAACCATATCCCTAGACATAGATATGATGATTTGGTGATAGATATTCAGCTTATTCATACATGCATATATCTTACGTATCAGATTTATATATATATGCGGATATGTGATATGTGGGTTATTTATGAAGGGTTTCATGTATCCAGAAGAGGATGTATATCCCATGTTGCCCGCCAGGCCTGTTAACGGAGCATCCCAGTGGAGCTGAGCAATGCGCCTGGCGCAGCCGCGTCATTTTGGTGCCGGTCCAGCGGATATCCAGAGATATGGAGATAGAATTGGAAGCCATGACCATTTAGTTGGCTTATACCATGGTGACTATCAATTATAATCAGGTGATAACATGGTGATAGCACGCGGATATTTATCATTTACTTGGAAGCATAGCGGTTTTCCAGCTCGCTACGTGGCAGATTAAAAGGTAGTAGAATTGGAAGAGCATGACTTCACTCGACCCAAATTTGGCTATTATATGCTATTATTAATAGGACAAGGAGATTCTGTTTGTATACTTCGATGGTTTGGGCCCCTACATATTTACTGATGTTTTTTTTCTGGTTCAATCACGCAAACACCTCCACTTGTGGATGGATTCTTGACCATCCACAGTTTCAGTATTGGACCCTTGTTGGATTTTTGCTATCCCTTATTTGTTGCAGGGATCTAGCCACACCAACGGGGTTTTAGGGTTTTGGTTGTCGGGTTTTGACGTGCCCAATGGCCCACCAAATGCATCCCACCAAAAGTTGAACTTTTTGCAGGAGATCAACGATGAAAGTGGTTAGAGGCACCAGAACACGCGGGGATGTCTGTTTGGCAATCAGTCAGATGGAGCATGACCCAATTGAAAGCAATGTAATGCCAATGCAGTTTTTAAGATGAAACAACTGATTGCCAAGCATTGCGCAGCCGTTGCTTGCGATCCACGCCTTCAGAAAAAGGCACAGGCTTCTCACACCAGATACCACGCTTCAGATTGAGGTCGACCAGAGCCAATCAAAACCAGAGACTTATGATGTACCTTCGTAGCAGATAAATCAGCTGCTGCCGGTTAGGAAATATCCAATATTCGTGATATCCGTGATATCTGTGGCGAAATCTCCAAAGTCACTTGTGCTCATGGCCGCCGTCCCATGTCAGATGTGTTCACCCGTGCTTCAGCTTCAGGTTGCCAAGATGAAACCAGACCAGTTCAGGTTTGCATTTGTCTTTGGTAGGTTCAGATTTGTGCCCCTTGAAACCCAACCAGCCTTTCAAAGTTTAATTCTTTTTGAGCCCTACTCAGACTTAAGCCAGAAAAGCTTTTTTTGGCAAGCTGACACATCACCAGACATAGGCCGAAACAGCCATCTCTGTAAACCATCTCCAAAAACAAGGCCCACCATGAACCATCACAGACACCAGTGACCATCAACTACTAGTATAACCCCATCCATTACCTGGGCATCCGAATTCAACTGAGCATGTGGCATGGTCCTTAATTGCCATGATCCCGGCCTTTCAGTTTGCGCTTGGGCACTCAGACGGCGGGTGCCAAGAAGTAAACGTTTTGGTGCTTGCACCCCGTGTGGTGGCTAAACATCAATGATTCAGGAAGCCTGACAGCAAAAATGGGAGATCACAACTTATACAACTAACTCAACATGGAGCTTTTGTGATATAAAATGTTGGTTTCATCATATGTATCATCCAGATGATTTGTGGTTGATACCATCATTTGGTGACAGCATGATGCGCGTCATGAATGGAATGCATGCTGACTGCAGACCATGTTCCATCTTGAGATGCTTAATTAATCCAAATTGACGCTTCTTAAGATTAAGATGGGCTGAAGCCATCGCTGACAGCCAGTCACGTTTCATGTGGACTTTGGGAACCTTCAAGAGGGTATACCCCAGAAAAATCCACACTATTCAATACGATTTTTTCCGCGCATTGATCCTAAGAGCTATCCGAGACAACTAGATGTCAGGCCGCCAGGTTTGGAGATGTGTGATGCACATGCGTGATGTGTCCGCCAGGCTGGGGCACCAGGTCTTACAGGGCCTGGTTACGGTGGGACGCTACGATGGCACCGACCTTGGAGGGGTTGGGTTCTCCCGGGGATAACCGACGGATAACCATCCAAAACCCATTTGAGGCATCCATTGATCATTAACCATCAGAAACTGGTGAAAAATCGGGATTGCACCATCAAAAAGGAGGCTTTAACCCATGGATAGTGATGACAAATGTGTATTAATTTTAAGCATCATATAATATGGATGTCTCTGAAATGGGGGTATGCCTCCCACATTGCTATGTCGGGGAAACTGATGATAAACCATTGGCATGGGGCATATTTCCAGACAAACCCGTACGTATGCTTGAATATAAGGATATATCTTCATGTGTAAATGGCATATCATGGGATGCATGAGTCATATTGTTAATATTAGACTACGTCTGTGTGTGTTCATTCACCAACGAAATGTGGAGCCAAGGTGCCCTTTGGAACTTTGGGCCATTATTGGCATCAAACTAGAGGGGCATGGGGGGTATGGAAGCCAACTGCGCCTTTCGCGCCTAGGGAAACGGCCATGCATTTCAGCTGGAACAACAGCGGGCAAGGCAAGGCTGAACTTCATCACATGTTTGTTCAGGAACTTGTGACCCGTTGGATCTCGTTGGACCTTCTTATGATTGGGACATTTCTAAATCGCACTTTACCTTTTGTTCGTGACAAGCCGCGGATGCCTGTCTCAAAGTGAGGCTGGTGATTTGATCGAAACATTTCTTGTCGCCAGGTACTCATCCACTGCCCGCACAATCGCATTGAGAATCCCCAGAATGAGGCTATGGCCAGATCTACTGGTCCCACCAATGGCGGAAGTTTGCCGGGCAAAGAGCGTCCAACATTCGAATGGACAAATGCGTCCTACCCAAGGGGATTTTGTAAATGGCATGATCAGCTTTCCTTTTTCGGGCGTAGGTTCCAACCCCATTTGAGCCATTCAAAATACCGCTGTTAATTAGATTGTTGATTGGTGAATTTAGGGGGTTATACTAACTGGATCTTAGTGGGTAACTGGTTTAGTTGGGGTCATGATAAGCCAGAATAGCGGTATCCATTGCCCAACCGGTAATGAGACGGTCATGGACCATCATACTATCCGATACTATCAGTACTCTTCCAACCACGGAACTACGAGGCCACCCGAGAATTTTGGCAGGTCATGTTCCTGAACATCAACCGGAAGATCACCTCGGTGGTCACGGGGATGTTGCACCCAGCTTTGCAGCGGGATGTGCTGATGGTGGGAACGCAGACATCGCTGATGGTATATGATGTGGAGGCAGCTGCACAAGGGGGGTGCGACAATGGAGCCGGGCAGTTTCCATGAATCCTGGTTGTGTGACTGGGATTTTTCCAGCAGTTCATGGGTTGCTGATGGTTTTCCAGTGTTTATTTAGGGTGCAGATCCAAGTACCAATGGGCTGGACCCACACACAGCTGGTCATTTCTGGTACTTCACCACATCCATGACAGCTAAATTTTGAGTCACCGCTGTGTAGGAAAACGCCGACCTCTTCTTCAAAGAAGTCCATGACGGTTGGCATCTCAAGATTTCATGAACTCCAGGTTTGCTGGCAGAAGTCAAATCTTCAGTCACCGCAGAAATGATGGGCGCAATTGATCATCTTCCTTCGCTAACAACGCCCCGCACAACTCCCGCAATGGCTTTCGACCCAGGCACCACCGTCCTTTGCGGCTGAGGTGTCAATGTCATTGCCTTTGGACAACTCCCTGGCATCGAGCAGCCCGTGTGCGTTGTGGGTGGCAACTGCTCAGTCCAGGCGGACAAGGGATGGTCGCCCAAAAGGATCAACAATAGATGGAGAAGACAGCCAGCAACAATGGGCTATAGTGGCTGTAGGCGTAAACGAATATTTCTCTTGTTGATTGTTTCGAAAATTGTCACACATGGTTCGTTTTCTGTCCGTACTTTGGATGATGCTTGTGCTTCTTGGATTTTTATGTGCGGGATGGATGCAAGCTAAAAACCAGTGTTGCTTTGATTTGTTGGTTCATCCCTCTTGTATCGCCGCTGTGCTGGCAGGTTGAATCCCACAACCGAGGCTTTTAAATCTAAAATAGCGTTGATGAGCAATAGCTTCCTGGTTTTTGTTCAACTTAGGAACACCTGGGATAATGGAATTCACCAAAGCAGGTACTGAATTCAAGGATCTTCCCAATCCAGTTGCTGATTTGGGTTCGGCTCATGGTTCAATCCCCCAAATCCGCAGCTGGTCGTGCTGCCAAGGCTTAGGTTCGCACTGCAAAATTTGCAAAACCTGTCAGGAAGGTTTGTTTTATTTTTAAGATCTTGCGTTTTTCAATATTAATCTTTTCGGCATGTAGCCAAGGGCACGCGAAAGCTGTACGCATATAGAAATAATTCTATACATATATATATATATACACGTATATATACATACATATTTAATTTAATTTAATACAATATAAAACTGTATAATCTAGTATAATTTCATACCATATAATATTTTATAGTATATAATATAAAATTTTATATATATATATACATATACATTTTTGAGTAGATAGATAGATAGATAGATAGGTAGATAGATAGATAGGAAGATAGGAAGATAAAGATATACATAATTTATTTGTTTGTATTACATATTTATATATATATATATGTGCATATATACATATATACATATATGCAGAGATTTGCGCATGCATTTTTTGATTCCTCTTCTAGCACGCTGCAAAATCTGCACATGTACAATTGGCATGCAGTTTCGTGTAGACCGACCGACCCTGCCCGGAGGCATTCGATGCGGAAGGCGGCGAGTTGTTCTGGACAGTCACAGGCCTGGCCGCCAAACCTTGGGGATTCAATTCATGAATATTGTATGAAAATCAGGTCCGTGGGGAAACCGTGCATGATTGTTCAAGGCTTGACGCTCTTGTCACGTCAATGCGGAAATAAGCTAAGCACCTAAAGGTTCAACTTTTTGCAGGGCATTAATCTTTTTGGCCATGCCAAGTCCTCTACTCAGACTGGCCCATGTTGAGGTTATATTTGTGCGCGTTTGGGTTTCCAATGTGTTTTGAAAGGTTGGTCCTCCCAAAATTTGAACATCCCATCACCAGTGACAACGATAGATCCTATGATCCTTGCAGTGTGTCCCATTATCGAGTGGCATTTTCAATCAAATTTGTTTGTCATACATATACATACATACATATATATATACATATATGTATGCCAATCCTATATCTCCGGATAGTCCCACCAAATACCCGAAATCCCGCGAAATCCGCTTGGAGTTGTTACCCAAGTTGCCTCGGCCAGGTGACAACGTGAGTTCATTGGCTTTTTGCGTGGGCGCAGCGAGTTTCACATGAAGAGGGTGGAGGAGTTTTTAGGCAGAGGTATCATACGATTTAGCCAATGATGAGGATCTTAAGCAGCCATGCTGTGGACATAAAGGAACTGACCAACGCGGTTCCTTCGTTTTTTCTTAATCCAATCGTTCACGACCATGCATTTTAATTAGGTGAGTCCATTCTTTCTTGTTGTCGACCAAAATGGATATGTACTGGTTCTCTTTTTTTGCAGGTACATGATCCAACTTATCCTGAACGCGCTTTTTCACTCAGTTGATCCCAGTTTGACTGACCACTCCGCGATGTTGTTTCCCATCCATTTTCCGTCGACCATCATCTATTCCCCACATCACTGTGTGGGGTTCTTGTTTTTCGCTTGGATCCCGCCGCTTCTCCTCCTCCGCCGCGCCGCCTTCACAATTCCACACAGCCCCACTTCTCACACCTCACTTATCACATCCTCACCTCTCACATCACTTATCACATCACCACTCATCTCACACCTCACTTATCACATCCCCCACTTCTCACACTTTACTTACCACATCCTCACCTCTCACATCACTTATCACATCACCACTCATCTCACACCTCACTTATCACATCACCACCCATCACAGCTCCACTTCTCACACCTCACTCATCATATTATCACAGCACAATACTCATCACTGCTTTCGCGTGGCAGTCGCAGTACACACAGCATCCTGGAGGAGCTGCCTTTCGCGTGGCAGGCGCAGTACACTGAGCCTCCTGGTCCAGCTGCGGCGCGGGTGGGCGCCGCTGGGCCGCGGCTGCCTTTCGTGTGGCAGGCGCAGTACAGAGAGCCTCCTGGTCGAGCTGCGGCGCGCGTGGACGCCGCTGGGCCGCGGTTGCCTTTTGTGTGGCAGGCGCAGTACACAGAGCCTCCTGGTCGAGCTGCGGCGCGTGTGGGCGCCGCTTGGCCGCGGCTGCCTTTCGTGTGGCAGGCGCGGTACACAGAGCCTTCTGGTCGAGCTGCGGCGCGCATGGGCGCCGCTGGGCCGCGGCTACCTCTCGTGTGGCAAGCGCAGTACAGAGAGCCTCCTGGTCGAGCTGCGGCGCGCGTGGGCGCCGCTGGACCGCGGCTGCCTTTCGTGTGGCAGGCTTCATCACAGCTCCACTTCTCACACCTCACTTATTAATCACACCACAACTCATCACAGCTCCTCACACCTCACTTATCACATCTCCCATCTCGCTGCCTTTCGTGTGGCAGGCGCAGTACACAGAGCCTCCTGGTCGAGCTGCGGCGCGCGTGGGCGCCGCTGGGCCGCGGCTGCCTTTCGTGTGGCAGGCGCAGTACACAGAGCCTCCTGGTCGAGCTGCGGCGCGCGCGGGCGCAGCTCCACTTCTCATCACAACTCATCACAACTCATCACAGCTCCACTTCTCACACCTGACTTCTCACACACTAACTCATCACAGCTCCACTTCTCACACCTCACTTATCTCATCACATCTCACACCTCACTTATCACATCACAACTCATCACAGCTCCAGTTCTCACACCTCACTTCTCACACACTCTCTCATCACAGCTCCACTTCTCACACCTCACTTATCACATCACAACCCATCACAGCTCCACTTCTCACACCATCTTTCACACACCCTCTTTGACACACCATCTTTTACACACCATCTTTCACACACACAACTTTGTCACCCACCATCTTTGACACACCATCTTTCACACCATCTTTGACACACCATCTTTCACACCACTTTGTCACACACACAATCTTTCACACGCAACTTTGTCACACACCATCTTTCACACACAGCTTTGTCACACACCATCTTTCGCACGCCATCTTTCACACACATCATCTTTCACACGCAACTTTGTCACACACCATCTTTCCTCCACCTCCTCCTTTGTCTTTCCTTCCTTCCCATCCCCGCTACAACATTTCTGGCTCATTATTGGAAGAAGTTGACTTGTGGGGTTATCCGGTCCTTTTATCGATTTTTTTGTACATGAGTTGGCTGTTTTAGCCAATTTTATCTCTACTATACCACAAAAAAAAAACTGTTTATTATTCAGCCCCGTCCTTAGCTGCTGCTTATAAATCCCATTACAACCACATATTTTGTTGGTCGGCTATCCCCATGGGTATATCTCATTGCCAGCATCTGGGAAATATTCAGCATCGCCAGGATGTGGACGACGACGGGCACCCGGAGCTCTTGGTGGGCACCGAAGACTTCGAGATCCGCGCCTTGAAATCGGAGGACGTGGATCATCTCAGCTCGTAAGGGGCTGATATCCCACACTCCTGGAGATGACATCATGGTTTATCCAGGTTTATCTCTTGTATCACTGGGTTGCGCAGGAATTTCAAACAACAAACGTTATCATAGTATTATATCTGATTGGTTCAAAGATTTTGTTTTTTGAAGAGATTGCTCATTAAGGCTGGTTAAAATTTGATGTCTTGTGTTTCTTTCAGATTGGATATCTTATATCGCGTCATGGCTGATGGCGCCCATGTCTTTTCGATGCCAGATCTTGGCTGCTTTAAAGATATTCTTTCTATGTCGTAGAGGAGGCCTCAAGCCAACTACAAGTATCAAAGCCGCCCTTGAAGTCCTTGATCTGATCTAGATTCAAAAAATCATGTTGCCTTCTTTGTTCATTAGGATGGTTTGATGTTTTAAGTGAGGGGCATTCGGATCACCCGTCTTGAAGGACGGCCTAGGTGATGATAACGTCAAGGCATACTGGTGAACTGATTGAAGGCTGTTTTGCAAATGGACGTCAAGCAAAAACTGCGGATTGAGTCTACCATGCATCCCCATATAATTTTGCCTTATTCCTGAGAGATCCCCAAGTGGGGTTAGGTTCCTTATGATCCTGCCATTCCGTAAGTCGGCATGAATACGCGCCACGCCCACATTTCTTTTTGATCGGATCTTCAGCCCCCCAACTCTTAGGTTAAATCCGAAATGTTATTCTCTTGCATCCCATAATACTAGGTAGGCTAAACCCGTTATAATTTCTAGAATTGTCCAGGCCCTTTTTTTGTTTAGTTGAACCGCAAACACGTCAACCATTCCTCAGTCGTGTTTGTCGCTTCCCATCCAAGTCGGTCCAACCTTTGCAGGAGGTTCTCAAGGAGATCACCGAGACGGACGTGGTGCTGCGCATCGAGCCGCTGCACAAATGTCGCTTTGCATATGCATTGATGCGCGGCCCTGAGATCATTGGATCCTGTTGATGCGGGATGGCATCTGGCAACATAAACCATGAATGTACCATGCATTTTCCCTTTTGAGGTATTCATTGGTTGGTAGTTTTTGTTTGGGTCCCATTTTTGTAGGTTCCCGTTGGTTCATGCCCAAAGAGGACTGATTCAAAGCCATTGGAAAACAAAGCAGGCATGGGTTTAGAAGACAATTTGGGCACTGGATGATGGGTTGATTCAACTATTTGGAGTGGCTTCACGTTTTTCCGTAGCGCTGAGGCATGGTACTGTTGGGGTCTATGACAAGCTTTCTCGCGCATGGAGAGCGCAGTGCTGAACAGATAGCTGTTGAGCTTGGGAGATTCGGAAAGACACAACGGAACAATTCCTGGGAATTGCCACAGTTATCCAGATGGGTTTGGAAGCCAACACCTTTCGAATATCGGACAAGGCTCAATATGTGTGCTTCGCCCAGGTGAAATCCAAGAACCGCGTGAATTGCATCGATTGCTTCGATTTGGACAACGATGGGGTCTGGCCTCAGCTTGTCACGCAGTGGAAATAAGCCGATGCTAAGAGGAGCTACCGAGCTACCTGTATACCTCAGGATGCCTCAGGTCTTCTGTTTTTTTTGGCTTCCCAACACCCATGACTACTGATGCTACAAGGTGTTGACATTCGATCGGAAAAGACTTGTTGTGGCGGTGATGGTTGATAAAGATGGTGATGGGGGTTAAGGTTACTGATGTTCATCCTGGTCAGGGTGATAGCCATAGCGATGGTGATGAGAATGGTGCTGATTGTGATTTTTGATTATGAACAGATCATGATCAAGAGGATGAGGAGGGGAAGATGTTGTTAAAGATGATGACTGATGGTATTGTTGGTGATTATGTTTGATGCTGGTTTGCCGTGCATGTTGACTGCTAGTACCGCGAGCGTGATCACAGGGTGATGTGGACATGGGCAGGGTTAAGGACGTGCCATGGCTCTTGCTGGTTTTGATGATCATGCTGAACACAATGAGAACTGATATGACGAATGTGACTGCTGATGCGACTGCTTTTGCGTGCTAATGCGAGGATGCGATATGATGTTACGGCCGGAATAAGAATTCGTAACTCAGATTTCACCATCACCAAAATCATCCTCGTCATAATCAACGTCATTGACAACACCAACATCAACATCAACGTCATAAACAAGACCATTCATTACGTATTAGGTACTGTTTGCGCTGTTGTTGCCATGTCTCCATTTGCACCACTTGGCGCAGGTCCCAGAGCTCATCGCTGGCTGGGAGAATGGCAAAGTGGAAGTGCGCAACGAAAAGTCTGGGGAGGCTGCAGCCCTGCCACCGTGACGTTGCGGGGTACGTGGAATCAGGATATGGCCAAAGAATGGAGATTAATAGGAGTTTAACCCTCGAGACTTGGTAAACTAATGCTAAACCCAATAATAGAGGTTTATAAAATTGGTTGATGGGTCAATGGCGCCATGTTTCAACCCTGTTTGTTGTGATGAAGCGACTGGACTACTGATTTGGATAGATCGAGAGAAGTCTTTTCGCTGAACTGTCATGCAGCAGGCAAAAAATAGCTGGAAAGTACTTGGTTTCATGGAGCCAAAATACCAAAGAGATCCAAAGAGTTTGCGCCACATGATTCCAAAACTGCCCGCAAACCAAGAACAACCGCAGAAGACCTTTTTTGATTGGATTGCAGGACATTGAAAGCGGAAATCAGGAAGCATATGTCTCTGGGTTTGCCGTGTACTTTGGAGTGCATAGAGTATCAGCACCGACTGAATCATTCAGCTGATCTCCACGCTGTAGAACAATGTGAGCAGCTTCCAGTGAGTTTGCTCCGCAAGAAACGCTTGTAGGCTTCAAAAGTACAAACAAATAGTAGGTTCAGAAAGTTCACTCGGCACCTTAAGTTGGCAGATCTAAACAGCTCAGCACTATTTTGATGGGGATCTCCTCTCTCGTTCGTCGACTTTTTGCTGCAAGACGGCCAGGTAATATGCAAAGACTACTTCCAGGCACCAGTTGCTGTCGCGATCTGAGGATTGTCACAAGTGACGCAGTACAGCCAGGCTGCGGGAAGGTCAAGTTGAGTAGTCAAGTTGCCTCCCACGCTGCTTTTCATCATTGTCTATGTATGTCCCCTCACATGGAATGACGATACAATGATCAAAGGTGAAAACGCCCATTCTAAGGGTCATTTTTAGTATGCCTTCTATGTCCCATTTTTGGCTTGCCTCCACCTTTTTCTGCCTGCGCTATCTTGAAGTTTCAGTTGATTCTACCCCCAGGTGTTCCACTGGTTCCATTGCAAGATTGGGGTAGTGATATCTTAAGGTTTTGACTAGTTACATCCCGCTTGGACCGCTTCTGATGACGCCACCATGACCTCACCATAGCGAATGGTTGAGAAGAGCCAAAAACAGCTTTATTTCAGGCTGGGGGGCTATGCACACATATCTCGTTAATTTTCTTTACATGTGTTCTTTGCATATGTCTTCATAATGTATGTGTGTGTCTAATAATTAGATATTGATCAATTTATGTCGCGCATACTAAGTTCAGTCTCCCATCATTGCATTCCCTTCAGATCACCTGGCAATCCACCAAGGCCCTAGTCCATGCGGATTATCGCTTGGATGGACGAGAAACCTTGATGTGCTTGACCTCCGAGGCCGGCATGAGTGGCTCCCTGATGAAACCTTGCTGTAAAGATATTGATGTGGGGCGTGGCTTTTTCCCAGGTGGACAGTTGTAATTAGGTTGTTAGTCTTGCTGGAGATATAGCTTCTCAAGCTATTATTCTGCTCATCGCTGCAATGATCAAAATTGTGGGCCGATCGGTGCCCCATTTGCACAAGCCATATCTCATCTTTCGAGAAATTCAGCGCGGAAATTGTTGGGCATTTGGCCGTTTGGCCCTTGTTCCTTCCCAGGGCGATGTCCGCGGCTGGTTGCCATCAAGTTGGATCCTTGGGCTCCATAGAAATCCATCAGGGATCCGCGGCCTCTCCAAGGCAGCGGCGCTGAACACAGCGGCCTGCGCAGTGGCGCGCGGCACTCAGCTCATTTCGGGTAAGGAATGGTATGAAGCCTATGAAAAGCAGCGGCTTAACATTCAATTTGATGAGGCTACTGCAGGGCATCAAAACATCAATAGTGGTTGCGGCCGCATAAAACCGACAAAAAAGCGGGTGATCGTGGGATATGACGGGATACAATGGGATGCCTAGCCACTTTTTTGCGATTTAGTGGATAGATATTTTAGCAAGCAATTTTAGGCAAGCCATCCAGCCCGTGGGTACTCTCTCTTGAGAAAGGTCATTTGTTAGGATATGAGGTCCGAATGCATGCAGGAGGCGACAACACGTCATTGGTTTCCTCTGTGGGAAGTAGGGCCTTTGATGCGGAAGGTTGAAGGCATGAAACGGCTTCAGAGGTCATCTTAGGGAGCAATGATTTTTGGAGGGGTTGGAAAAGGACGCTCAGTGGACAGCAGAAGTCCCTTTGTTTGGCAGTACTTGGTGTTGTCATGTGCGAACAGAAACAAACCCACATCGTTTTCCAAAAAATTGAGGAAGATTATCAACATGGGCTATTTACAATATCAGATAGCATGAGCTACACCGCATCAACGCGGAAAACACATCATAGACGACGTCATAGATGCGGCACAAGCTCCTCAACTGGCTAATGGGCCCAGCTTCACTGAGGTCGCGGCTGTCGAAGCAAAGGCTTAGCTTCTGACGGTGAGATCTAGATTCATGGCTCGGTCGCCCAATTGCCCCGGCCAGGAAAATGACAGCTGGCGAGAGCTCACAGCCCAGAAGGCAGAACTGACCCAGGACAATGCTGAGTTGACTTGATTTCTGTTCAATGGCGTGGATGGCTTAAGGTCCCATTGCTTGGTGAAAAATGGAAGAATAGCTGTTTCTCACCATTCACGCATGCTTGCCAAGCGAGAGCTTTTTCCCGAGAGCGCCTGCGAAGGGTTCTTCGTAAAAAAGCAGCCGTTGTAATACATCTTCATACCCTCACATCTGCTGATCTACATCTCCACACCCTCACATTTGCTGATCTACATCTTCACACCCTCACATTTGCTGATCTACATCTTCACACCCTCACATCTGCTGATCTACATCTTCACACCCTCACATCTGCTGATCTACATCTTCACACCCTGCTGATCACATCTTTACACCTTCGCGCCTGCAGATCTACATCTTCACACCCTCACATCTGCAGATCTAGATCTTTACACCCTCACATCTGCTGATCTACATCTTCACACCCTCACACCTGCAGATCTACATCTTCACACCCTCACATCTGCAGATCTGCATCTTCACACCTTCACATCTGCAGATCTCCTCTCGCTCTTCTTTCTATCTCTCTCTTAAGGCGGGGGCGGTGCCGCCGGAGCGCCACGAAACGCAACCCTTTCGCACGGAATGGACGTTGGACGTCAAAAACTGATGTAAAATTGCGATTTTACTTGGTCCATCGCGACCCTTTCGCACGAAATGGACGTTGGACGTCAAAAACTGATGTAAAATTGCGATTTTAGTTTGTCCATCGCAACCCTTTCGCACGAAATGGACGTTGGACGTCAAAAACTGAGGAAAAATTGCGATTTTGGGGTGTCACGGGCAACCTTTTCGCACGAAATGGACGTTGGACGTCAAAAACTGAGGTAAAATTAGTTAGTCCATCGCAACCCTTTCGCACGAAATGGACGTTGGACGTCAAAAACTGAAGTAAAATTGCGATTTTGAGGTGTCACGGGCAACCTGTTCGCACGAAATGGACGTTGGACGTCAAAAACTGATGTAAAATTGCGATTTTACTTGGTCCATCGCGACCCTTTCGCACGAAATGGACGTTGGACGTCAAAAACTGATGTAAAATTGCGATTTTAGTTTGTCCATCGCAACCCTTTCGCACGAAATGGACGTTGGACGTCAAAAACTGAGGAAAAATTGCGATTTTGGGGTGTCACGGGCAACCTTTTCGCACGAAATGGACGTTGGACGTCAAAAACTGAGGTAAAATTAGTTAGTCCATCGCAACCCTTTCGCACGAAATGGACGTTGGACGTCAAAAACTGAAGTAAAATTGCGATTTTGAGGTGTCACGGGCAACCTGTTCGCACGAAATGGACGTTGGACGTCAAAAACTGAGGAAAAATTGCGATTTTACTTGGTCCATCGCGACCCTTTCGCACGAAATGGACGTTGAACGTCAAAAACTGAAGAAAAATTGCGATTTCACGGGTGGTCCGGTCTCTGTGTGTGAAAGTGTTTGTGTGTAAAAGCTTCTGTGTGTGAAAGTGTTTGTGTGTAAAAGCTTCTGTGTGTAAAAGTTTCTGTGTGTAAAAGCTTCTGTGTGTAAAAGCTTCTGTGTGTAAAAGGGTCTGTGTGTAAAAGGGTCTGTATGTAAAAGCGTCTGCGTGTAAAAGCGTCTGTGTGTAAAGGAGTCTGCGTGTAAAAGCCTCTGTGTGTAAAAACTTCTGCACGTAAAAGCTTCTGTGTGTAAAAACTTCTGTGTGTAAAAGCGTCTGTGTGTAAAAGGGCCTGTGTGTAAAAGCTTCTGTGTGTAAAAGCTTCTTTGTGTAAAAGGGTCTGTGTGTAAAAGGGTCTGTATGAAAATAAGTAAACATGTGGGATCCTCGACATGATGGTATGGAGCTGTTTTTTGGGCAATTTGTCTTGGTATTCGTATACAAAATCAGAACAGGCTCGTGTATCAATATTGCAGGAGCTATTTTGTGTCTGTATGGCAGGTTTTGTCACGCATGCCGTGGAGGAGCGCTGGGAATGGCAGTGGTTCTACAGCATCATGGCACCGAGTTTCGGCTTGCAACTCAGTGTCCCACTTGGAAGTAAGTAAGCAGCTGGACCTTAGCGCGCCTGTGGTTGAAGGCATCGTTGCGTGCTGTACCTGTAGATTGAAACAATGACTTGTAGTTGTGCACCTGCACTTCGTTGCCACAGGAGGTAGTTTTGTCCTTGCATTGCGCTTGCATTGTTGTCGTTCGCATGGCTCAGAATGTAGGATCAAATCTGTTAAATGGCTTGCATCGTGTTCAAGCTTGTATGAAAACAGCCTTTCGCATAGTTTCATACTTCCAACTTTGTATTTCTGTAGGGACCGTCTGTTAGATCACAGTTGCCGCCATGACCACCAGCGCTCGCGAGTGGAGAGCGGCGCGAGAAGAAGATATCAGGAGGGCTTACGCCGACAAAGAATGTTGGAATGACCTGGACCGCATTACCTGTCAGCACCCTTACAATTTCAATGCCATAGAGCAGTGGCCGTTGGACGCTGCCGTGATCTGCAAACCTACGGATCGAGCGTCGGTGTTGCTTGGAAGCATCAAAGCGGCATGTAGCTTGGAAGACATTTTCAAGACTCTGTCGGTGAAGGTCACCGTGGCGGTGACCATGTGCGCAAATGAAATGGAGATTCGAGGCGCCCCGAAGGATTGGGCGCAGTATTTCCAGCAAGAAAAGGTCTTTCACATCAAGTGTCACTTGGATGACACGACATTGAAGCCGCCGCACCGTTGGGAGGAACGAATCCCTGACTTGGTAGCTTCTTGTTTGGAACAGTGGAAAATTGTTTGTGGCCAACTCTGGAAACAATCCATGCTGGCAGTGACCAGGGGCGAATCCATGCACGTGCTCTTCCATTGCTTTGAAGGCATCAATCGAAGCGCTGGGGCTTTATGTGGCTCGTCGTGGGTTACAACTACTCTGCAGAGGATGCCGTCCAGTTGCTGCTTGAGAAAAGACCTTCCTTGCGCCCTTGGCACAATCGCCCCTATGTCTTGGAGGCTTTGTGGAAGCTGGAAGGTTTGCGTACCGTGTGGCACATGGAACTGAGTGCGGCGGGCGGAAATTAATTTGCACCACTGTTCGTCTGGAGAAACTGTTCGTGGCGAACCTGCAAAATCAGTAGCCAACTGCTGTCTGTTTGTACAGTTGGAAAGTGTTGATCTACATGTTTTTGTGTGATCCAACTCGATGACAGACGATCTCACCTTGGTACGAGCGAACAACTATATGCATGATCGTGCAATCTGAAATTTCCGAGGCGGCTCTTGCGCCAGTTTGGTACCGGCCTGGGTTTTTGATGGATGTTTTTCCCGGATGCGTAGCAAGGGTTCCCGTTTCACTCTGGGGGTCTGGGGGCTGAGGGTGTGTTCGCTCGACGTTGCGTTTGTGGTCGCAACCGTCCGCAACCGTTCGCAACCGTTCGCAACCGTTCGCGCGATCCCCGTATGGCCGTGCCTATGGGAAGTTTTACAGAGGTGGTCCTTTTTGGAGGTTTCAGACGTGTCGTTGCTTCGTTTCGCGTGGCAGGCGTGGCACTTCGTGACATTCAGACGTGTTCTGGAACGTGTCAAAAGTCGTTTTGCCTGGCAGGCGCAATACTTTTGCGACGTTTTCAGAAGATGCGTTGCAGTTTTCGTGGCAGGCGCAGCACTTTGGACGTGTCCATCGTCATTTTTCGTGGCAGGCGCAGCACTTTAGACGTGTCATGTTGCGTGTTTTTTGCAAATCGCATTGGCAGGGCTGCGTCAAGTGGCGACAAGGTGCAAATTCCGTGGCAGGCGTGGCATTTTGTGCGATGCGTTGAAAATTGACGGAAGCCTCGCACGAAACATCGATTTTGAGGTTGCCAATTTTCACGTTCTAAGGAAAACTCGTAGGAAAACGTCGATTTTGAAGCTACAAAGTGTGAAAATCGGAGGAAGTCTCGCACGAAATGCTCGTTTTGACGCTCCCACCTGTCTCTTCTCGCGTGTCTGGTTTTCCCGTGGCCTCGCTGTGTCTATGGGGGAAGCTGCAAAACTTGTCCTTTTGTCATGTTGCCAACTGTGAAAATTGGAGGACGTCTCGTACAAAATGCTGGTTTTTCTGCATCCACGTGTCTTGTCTCGAGTCGCTGGTTTTCCTGTGGCGTCGCCGTGTCTATGGAGGAAGCTGGAAAACCTGTCCTTTTCGAATGTTTCCAGGCAGGCTGTGTTGTTGTTTTGCGTGGCAGACGTGGCACTTTCTGACATTCCAACCTGTTTGATGATGTTCACAAAATTTCAAAATTGGAGGAAGTCTCGTAGGAAATGCCGGTTTTTCTGCACCCACGTGTCTTGTCGCAAGTGTCTCGTTTTCCTGTGGCGTCGCCGTGTCTATGGGGGAAGCTGGAAAACGTGTCCTTTTCGAATGTTTCCAAGCAGGTTGTCATGTCGTTTTGCGTGGCAGGCATGGCACTTTGTGACATTCCAATCTGTTTGATAACGTGTCGAAAATATCAAGTTTGGAGGAAGTCTCGAACGAAATGCTCGTTTTTTTGCGCCCACGTGTCTCGTCTCGAGTCTCTGGTTTTCCTGTGGCGTCGCCGTGTCTATGGGGGAAGCTCCGCACTCCACACTCTACACTTTACACTCCACACTCCACAATTTACACTTTAGACTCCACACTCTACACTTTACACTCCACACTTTGCACTTTACAATCCTCACTCCTCACCTGAGACTTTACCCTCCACACTCCACACTCCACACTTTACACTACACTCTACACTTTCCACTCCTCACTCCTCACTCTACACTTTACACCCCGCACTCTACACTTTACACTCCACACTTTACACTACACACTCCTTACTCTACACTCCACACTTTACATTTTACACTCCACACTCCACACTCTACACACCACACTCTGCGCTTTCCACTCCACACTCCACACTCTACACTTTACACTCCACACTCCGCACTTTACACTTTACACTCCGCACTCCACACTCCACACTCTACACTCCACACTCCCCACTTTACACTCCACACTCCACACTACACTTTCCACTCCACACTCCGCACTCCACACTCCACACTTTACTGTACACTGCACACTCCACACTTTATACTTTACACTCCTCACTCCACACTCCACACTTTACACTCCTCACTTTACACTCCACACTCCACACTCTACACACCACACTCTACACTTTCCACTCCAGACTCCACACTCTACACTTTACGCTCCACACTCCACACTTTACACTCCACACTTTACACTCCACACTCCACACTTTACACTCCTCACTCCACACTCCACACTTTACACTTTACACTCCACACTCCACACTTTACACTCCTCACTCCACACTTTACACTCCACACTTTACACTCCACACTCTACACTTTACACTCCACACTTTCCACTCCACACTCCACACTCTACACTTTACACTACACTATACACTCTCACTCCACACACACTTTACACTCCACACACTTTACACTCCACGCTTTACACTCTACACCACTCTACACTACACTTTACACTACACTCCACGCTTTCCACTTTACACTCCACTTTCCACTTCCTACACTCTGCACTCCACACACTACACACCACACTCTACCACACTCACTCAAAATATTACACTCCACACTCCACACTTTACACTCCAGACTTTACACTTTACACTCCTCACTCCACACTCTACACTCCACACTCCCCACTTTACACTCCACACTCCACACTCTACACTTTCCACTCCACACTCCGCACTCCACACTCCACACTTTACTGTACACTCCACACTTTATACTTTACACTCCTCGCTCCACACTCCACACTTTACACTCCTCACTTTACACTCCACACTCCACACTCTACACACCACACTCTACACTTTCCACTCCAGACTCCACACTCTACACTTTACGCTCCACACTCCACACTTTACACTCCACACTTTACACTCTACACTTTACACTCTACACTTTACACACTTCACACTCTACACTGTAAAAACTCCACACTCCTCACTCCACACTTTACACTCCTCACTTTACACTCCACGCTCCTCACTCCACACTCCTCACTCCACACTCCACACTCCACACTTTGCACTTTACACTCCTCACCCCACACTCTACGCACAACACTCCACACTCCACACTCTACACTTTGCACTCCATACTCCACACTACACATTACACTCCGCATTCTACACTTTACACACTCTACACTCCCCACTGCACACTTTACACTCCACACTCCTTACTTCACACTCCACGCTCCACACTCTACACTTTCCACTCCACACTTCAGACTGGTAACAAGGGAAACATGTACAAGACTGTTCAAATAAACTATTGCAGAAAGGTATTGTGCGTGACTGCATATCCATGTGTTTTGACATCTGTACCATTAACATACGTGTGAGCATTCGGGTTTGTGGGCTTCATCTTGTTTGGTCTTGAGTAAATCAAATTACTGGAATGTGTCCAGCGCTGTTCTGTGCACTAAGGTTGGCACTTCTGAGCCACGACGTTTCACTGCGATTCAAAGCATCATTTCGTGTTGGTATGTGTTGTAAAAGCGTCGGCCTGTAAAAGCGCCTGTGTGTAACGGGCTTTGTCTATAAGAGCGTCTGTGTGTACAAGAGTCTGTGTGTAAAAGCATCTGTGTGGAAAAGCGTCTTGGTGTAAAAGCTTCTGCGTGTAAATGTGCCTGTGTGTAAAGGTGTCTGTGTGTAAAAACGTCTGTGTGTCAAAGTGTCTCTGTGTAAAAGTTCCGCTGTGTGTAAAAGTGTCCGTGTGTAAAAGCGTCCGTGTGTAAAAGTTTCTGTGCGTGTAAAAGCATCTGTGTGTAAAAGTGTCTGTGTGTAAAAGCTCCTGTGTGTAAAAGCTTCTGTATGTAAAAGCGTCTCTGTATAAAAGCGTCGCGTTTCTTCACATCCACGGAATGATGGTGCCGAGCTTTTTCGGCAATCTGCGTAGGAATTACCATAGTAAAATGAGATAACACATGTCATGTCGTTCGCAGCATCATGGTACCGAGCCTCCTGTGCATTTTTGTTGCTCACATTATATTTCTCCATGTTTTCTTTCTACCCCCCTTTCCTTCTCTCTCTCTCTCTCTCTCTCTCTCTCTCCCTCCTCTCTCTCTTTCTCTCTGTGGTTGCAAGACACGTGTCATCTGATGCCCTTTACCAAGTATCCGCTTCTTAATCAATCTTACTTTTTCACACCTTATCCCTCCATAGCTCATATAAAATTCACCGACCATTCACCGACTATCTTTTACGACTACCATCCTCAGAGCTGCTTGAAAAACATCTTTTTCGCTCTCGGGCCAACCGTCGTCTAGTTTTCTCCAGAAGGATCATGCAGGGATAGTGACTGAGCTCGGGATTTGTGGCTCAACTTCCATTGCAGGAGCTCGCCAGCTTCAAGGAGCAGCTGAAGCAATACAAGTCAGGTGCAGCTGCACCATGCGCGGCAATTTTGCAAATGGCAAGCGGGTCTAGGAAGGAAGTGCCATCAGACCAACAGATCAATACGAAGCGTCTGAAGATTGCTTCGGGTTTGGGCATTTTTAGGAGGCATGATGACAAAGAAGTTGGAGGGGCTTTAGTCTGTGACACTGCACAACAGTGCAGAAACAACAAACATTTCAACTTTCTGGATGTGCAGATGGCAAAGAGACTGGCCAGGGCGTGGCAAGCTTGGTTTGTATTACGGGCTGGCGGGAAATGAAGCTGGACCGTTGGATCACCCGCTGATACCCCGACGCCGCATCATCATTTTGTGCAGTTTTAGGTCATACCAACTGACACGAAGCTCAACGCGTCCTTGAAAGCGAACAAGACACATGCCTGGGCCGCAGTGGGTCATTTGAATCATTTGAACAGCAAAACAAGTTTCATAGCACACGATCCATTTTGTTCGATCTTAGATGTAGGAGTGCAAGTGTCTACCGAAATTCACTTGGGTTTACATCGTCAACATTGAAACATGTGTTGAATACTGCTTGGGCGTGTGACAGCCGCCGGGAACTGAGGGCACCGTGGAACTTCATTTGATGACTTCCAACTACTCGGTGATCCGTGCAGTCGCTAGAGCCCCAGCAACCCAGGCTCCACGCACCCAGAGACAAGCACAAGTGATGCAACAAAGTAAAACCATAAGTGGGCAAGCCGGCCACCAACAGGGTTTAATCCAAAAGCAATACTGACAAAACAATTTAGTTTTCACCAAGTTATTCCCAGACTGTCAGACAAAGCGCTTTTCCATGGGAGGTCATCTTTGCAGAGCATCTCTTCGATGGAGAGGCATGTCTCTTCAGCAAAGCATTTTTTTGTGGTTTTAAACGAGGGGGAGGCAGGGTGTGGCAGCAGCGAGGCCTGCATGTTGCATCCGTTGCCGCCTTCCAACAATGTCATCGTGCAGATCTCTCCGGCTAAGGCCACCTCCCCTGATGTGGGCAGTGCTATCAGATTTCAGGATGTTCGCCCTACAACTTGCCAACGAAGTTGAAGTTCGTTTAGGTCAATGTCTGTTAGGACTATCCAGTGTGGTCTTGCGGCCGTCTTTGCATGCAGCTTCTTGACATGGGAACAATTTTGTCCAGATGCTGCCGCGCCATTCATTGGCTTTGAGGACGTCCAGACCACCATGAACATCAAAGCCATGACTGGCGTCACTTTGAGTAGCGTGACTTTGCAGCACTTCAACACCCCACCGCCCCTAGCTGCCAATTGGAAGGGCATTCCATGAATCTAGGTACAGTTATGGCCCAAGATTGGAGCCCGAGGTCCAATACCATGTCTTTGAACTCAACTACACCATGCCTAAATTTGCCATGTACCACCAGGCTTGTGTTCCAAATGCTGTTCAGTTCCTTTCAATGTCCTTGCTTTTCGTGACTCCTGTCGTTACGCTGTGGAAATTCCAACGTGCTTCCTTTCTTCGCTCGATGCGCATGCTTTCCATTCAGTGCGGCACCTTGTTTTCTGTTTCTTGTCCTAATCCCGGGTCGCAGCCACATCGCAGGTGGATGAAACTCAAGCCCCCAGTGGTGCAGTGACTTTCGTCGTTCAGGACTTCCGACGGCCACCGCAAGATATGGGGGAAGTTACCTGGGGGAGGGACGTAATTTCCCTTTTTGCTGTTCCATGTTCTATTTGGTGTCACTCATGGTTAGGATCCATGTAAGTCTCTCAATGGCGCAGCAGCTTCTACCACTGCTTCACCATGTTAGGATGAAGCTAGCACCTGTTAGCCTTTTGCAGGAAAGGCCGAATCGGATTTGGTGAGGAGCACAGCCGGAGGAACAAAGAACAGGCTTGCGCTCCCAAAATCAAACGACCAGTGCAGAACAGCGTGGCAATCCGAGGTCCTGGATCCAGCGATCTTTCATCTCAATCCCTGAGCAGATGCTTACAGCTCAGCCTGCTGTGTGCTGTGGCAGGGCTTTGGGGGGATGACTTTGATTGGCACGAGGCCAGCTGCCACTGGGAGCAATAGCCTGGAGGCATGTCTGTTGAGAAATTTCTTAGCTGCTTACTTTCCAACAGGAGCAACCAAGAAAACTTTGGGGTCTGTAGCGGTTGGCTGCTGACAGGATGCCAGGGTTCCGGTCCGGTTTTGGCTGCCTTGCATGCCCAGCGCATGTGTTCCCAACATGTCTAATTAGCCATCTACATACGACGTTCGTTTGACAAACTTGGCTCAACAAGCTTTGCGCTTCCAAGACTTCACTTCAGGCCAGGTCAAACCAACCCGCCATGCTTACAGGTGAATTTCATTTCTTTGCGTACCGGTGAGCCATTGTCACTGGTGCTGCACAGGGCATGGGGATTGGGCACAGGGAAGGCACTTAGTAAGAGTTGTGACGGGAAAGGGCGGGCTAAGCTCACCAAGCTTGCAGTCCCTCAAGCAGCGGGCTGAGGTGCATTACCATGAGCAGCCAGCCCGAACCTCAACCACCTAAGCGTCAGAACATGTCAACATCGACCTGCAGGCTGAATCTGAACATCACAACAGTCAACACCAGCTCTTCGGCACCGTGGGAGCACACAGCGCCGCGTGCCATGAGGCAAGCGGGGCTTATGACCATTCGCACCGACGACATGGAGACTGCTGGCGAAATGGTCCAGGATCTTTGTGGGTTTCTCCAGGCCCTGGCCCATACGTAACAAACAAACAGCGTGTGATCAACAGCTATGAAGGCGGCTGCCCAAAAGAACAATCAATAAACCCTAGCTAGCGCTCAGGGCGCGCACGATTGCTGGGATTGCTTTGCCCAAAACACTTGTCCAGGTCACCGAGCTGGAGAGTTCTGCCAATTTCCCGGCCGAGATGGAAAAATTTCAGCAGGTGCTGACGCGGGCAACTTGGCCAAGCGTTTCGCATGCCTCGCATGGATCTTCATGCGTTTAAGCGGAAAATCTTTCTGCCAAACTTGGATGATTTATGTTTGAGAAGATTTGATATCGTAAGGGCAAGTGGTAGATGACTAGAAAGTGCAGCAAATAGAGTCAGATGGCATGATTTGATATCGTACGGGAAAATAACGCAAACATGAGTCCAGCACATGGGCCATTTGAACATGTCAGCAGGGTTGGCCCAATAAATTAAGGGCCGGATGCACAAGCAAAACATGGGACGAACACAGTTGCCGGAATTCGAACTTCTTTTGATAATCCCGCGCCGCATTGCGTAAGGCTCGGGGTCCCCACCGTGCCCGACAGACCCTTCGATCTGAGGTAGATGAGTATAACGCTGTCCGCATGAAGTTGACAGCAGAGATGGCAGACAGCGCCAACTTGGTCAAGGCAGAATCAGTGGAGCTGGGGCTGCGGGCCGGAAATTCAGTAGATGCGTCACTTTGTTGGTCCATGTCTCTCAAAAGGGGGGACACAGAATTTTGTGAGAAAATGCAGCGCGCATCACATTGGCACGGCACGTTTGAAGTAGGAAAACTTTGGAGCACAGCGGGCACAGTGAAGATGAGCTTCCATTGGACTCCTGCGCGGTTCTTTTCTGGGCCAGTTCCCCTCCATTTGCCAGGCGTTGATCGTAAAAGCCGAAGACTACAGGAGCCAAAGCGGCGCCGACCACATTTTCTTGTAATTTTTGAGGTGCACGGGTTTGCATCCCCCGCCCCGCTGACTGAAACTAAGCTTTTCCCCGCTTGCCCAAATCTAATTGCAGCTACGGCTCTCAATCCAGTGTGGCTTTGGGATAGGTCCGGCGTGTGTTTTTCAATGGGGCTTTTGGTTTTGCAAAATGCTTCAGCAAGTGTGGGGCCCTGTCTTCGAGGATGTTGTCTGACATGCAGCATCTGAAGAAGGTCTGCGCCCAAGCCTGGCGGATGAGACGCAGCATGCGCACTTGAAAGTTGCCTCAGCAAATCGGTGGCCAGCAGAAGATGCCATCTCTAAGGCTTTTTCCTCGCTGCAACAAACCAACGGGGATCTGATCGCTGAGTACAACAAGCGTGCCAACAATCACCAACAGCTCCTGGCGTCTGTGGCTCAAGGGCGCGCCTTTGGAGCACGGGCAACGTCGCCAGAAGCAGATAAAGGTTTAAGAACACAGATGGAATCCATTTGCAAGGGTTGCCAAAGAGCAGGAACCAATATACATTTTCAACGTTTCCACTTTCTTCTTCATCACCTTCATCGTCAACATCACTGTCATTATCATCAACAACACCATGATCATCATGGTCATCATCATCATCTTCTTCTTCTTCAACGTCATCATCTACACGTTGCAACTGTAAATTTTGGAGGTGAATAGATGAAGTGAAAACATCTATGCATCTCGAACTGTATACATGCGCCTAGACGTAGGTGAAAGCAACTACACATCTCTAACCGTATTTATGCAAGAGTATAGGCGCAAGTGAATACACCTACACATCTACAACCAGCTAGGCGCATGTCTACAGTTGGAGATGCTAAAGATGTATAAAGGCAGGTGTCTGGTTGCATGTCTAGATGTAGGTGAAAGCATCTGCAAGTCTACATTTGTAATTTGCGCGCGTACACAAGCAGATGTAAAGTGGCAGGCCAAAACATTTACCTATCTGCAGCTGTAAAAATGCAGGTGCGTAGATCCAGAAGCATGGATCATCGGGAGAATAGACGCCCATCTTGAGTCTTGACATTTTCGGCTTTTAGGCGGAAAGTGCAGTGCAGTCGATGCTTACGAGATGGGCCCCTCTTCGCACAAAACCTGTAGCGTCAAAGACTGAGGTACAATTGCGAGTTGGCTTGCCCTCGGTGGGCCTTTTCAGCACAAAGCGCGCCCTGGCCGTCCATGCGCAACTGCGATTGGTTTGCCTCGGTGCGCCCTTCTGGCGCGATGCAGCAACTTCTCCGCATGTGTGCGCGCGCGTGTGTGTAAAAGCTTCTGCCTGTAAAAGAGTCTGTGTGTAAAAGCGCGTGCGCGCGTGTAAACCCTACGCGCCTAAGCTAGAAAGCTTTTGTGTGTAAAAGCACCCCGGCCAAAAAAAAAAGCATGTGTGTTCAAGAGCACTTTGTGTGTGTGTGAAAAAAGATTTGCGTGTGTGAAAGCATTTCTGTGCGAAAGCTTCTGTAGGGGCGGTGTCTTGCAATAGCGTGGTGGCGTAGTGAAATATCGGCCCAAACAAAATGCTGTAAGGAACATGTTTTCGCGGCATTCTTTCACAGCACTGTAAGTCACATTGCGAAGCAACATTTTTTAGGGCCAAGTAACATGTTGAGGTAACATATTAAATAACATTCTTAGGTCACATTTTAGATAAGATTACAGAGTAACATTATTAAGTAGCATTGCTGAGTAAACAATGGGCCACATACTCAGTCACGTAACAGTGTGCAGCCCCATGATTAATCCACTTTTGGCTTGTAAGGAACACGCCTCCGAGGTGTTTGCAAGTAACATGTAAAGCAACATGGTTCAGCAACATGTAAGTAACATTGCTAAGTAACGTGCTACGTAAATCAGAACTAAGCCACGCGGGTAGGGAATATGAATATGTTAAGTTCCAGTATTAAGTTACGTTTTGAGTAACATTCGGTGCAGGCGACAGTTGGTAAAACGGTTTCCCAAAGCAAAAAACGCGGAATGTTTGCAGTCGGTTTGCCAAGGCTTGCCTGCAGCTTTGCATGTTTGAAAACATGCTAAGAGTGCCCGTTTTGATGCCGTCCTCTTTGTTTTGATGCCGCAGCAGTCAGTGCAACACGTCTAAGTAACTTGTATTGGTATCCCTTTAAGAATTTGTAAGCGAATTTTCAAGCCATATGGTTGAAGCACATGGCAAGTAACAGTGCTACATTGCTACGTGACATGTCTAGGCAACATTTTAAGCCTCATTGTGAATTAACATTCTACATTGCTGGCAAACTCTACAAAGTTTCAATGTCGCATCTAAGCAGGTGGCATCATGATCAATCATCTTCTTCACAATCATCATCAGCATGATCATCATCATCACCAGCATCAACAACGCCTCATCATTTGCAAATTTGAAATGCCGCTAGTACAGCACAAGGCGGCGGCGGAAGTTTCAAAGCTAGGAAACCCATAGGAGGGGCGGGATGTCGTGATGCATGGATGGCAGAGCGAACCCACTGATTATTTTCCTTGCAGGTTCACTATCTATCTAATTCTCTATCCATGTATCTGTCCCTCTGTCAACCTCTCCCAATCTCTCTCTTCCTCTCTGTTTCTCTTTCTCTCTCTATCCCTCTACCTATCTATCTGTTGTTTGTCTAGCTACCTGTCCCTTTGGCCCTCTCTTGTCTCCGTCTCTAGCTCCATCTCCATCTCTATCTCTATCTCTTTCTGTATCTATCCATCTATCTATCTACCTATCTATCTATCTATCCGAAAGGAAGCAATTATGCGAAGTGGCCGGGTCTACAACCGAGCAATTCTGGGAGGCTTCCTCAGTTTTTGACGTTGGCAACAACAAAAGCGAAGCAATTTTGTGAGACTTCCTTCAAACATGAAAAGTTGGGAGCAAAGCTGACGGCTTGTTGCCAACAAGTTTTTGCGGTTTGTTCACCCCACGTCTCCAAAACAGCGATGCCGGGTCATACGAAGTGCTGCACCTGCTTTGCAAAATCATCCTAATCATCCTAGCAAACCTGAAGATTTGATGCTTCAAAATGCAACCCCTCTCAGGAATCATCTGACGCTTCCCACAACACAACTGCTGCTGCATCTGTCCATAAGTGGGAAGTTTGACTTCTAAATTTCCGTCGGTTATATAAATTATATTGCCTTGTTTGCACGTGTGGTTGGCCTTTGGCAAAGCAATTTGATGCTTACCTCCTGGTTTCCTTTTCGAGCTTCGCAATCGGCGATAGAAACTGGCTGCAACAAGTTCGTGAGGGTCACAACAAAAGGCAATGCTTTGCTTCAAAGCCAGCTTTCATGACTAGGCGTTCTAATTTTTGTGGGCTTCGCACACCGTCAAACATATTTGGGCCCACCGCTGAGGCAGCTGAAGGAAGTCAACATGATGATCCAGAAGGCTTGCCACACTGGTTCAACACAGCGAGACCCAAGGAACCAACCAAATGGCAAGGTGTTTCAAGGCAAATTCCCCGTGATACTTCCTGTCATTCCGCTTGGGATGAGTGAGACGGGATCTTGAGGCTGCTAAGCTACGCATGGGCCATGCCAAGAGCCGTGTGGTGGCTGCCTGTGGGGGCCTTGGGCCGGGGGCAGGCTGGATCAGAGCACGTTTGCGGTCTGCAGTGACCGAATCAAGCCATGCTGGGCTGAGCAGAGAAGGGCAGTCCGAATTTCCATGTTTGATGGGCTGTTCTTTCTTTCTCCGTAAAATTTAAGGCCGCCAGGCGATCAAGCAGAACAACATCATGGGCCTCTTCCAAATCATCAGGCGCGACATTTGCCCACTCACCCCCTCCGCTTTTCTCAAGGGGCTCCCTTCAAATCACGATGGAATGCGAAACATTGCAACAGTAGCACCGTAGCATAGTGACACCAACTAAAAAGAACGCTTCTTGGGCCCATCATTTTTTCGTCAACCTCCGAAGTGTGAAAAGAGCGCCACGGTTGTCAGCGCCTCAGGACCGGCCATGACGCTTCAGGGTGATCCCCGAGGGATCTCCATTTGGTCCGAAAGTCAAAACTCTTTGCCAGCGGCTGCTCAGCGCTGTCGTATAGCTACAGTGGCAATGCCCGTCAACATTTTTGGATTTCTTAGGGCAAAGTTACAGAAGGCGTATAGCAGCTTCTTAAATCAGGAAATAATAGCGCCGGAGAAGACGGGAAACAAACATCACATGTTCCATCCAGAAAGGAATTGCATACGCCATGGATTCCGCTCAAAAGCTTGTTCCCCAAACAGGTTTACCTGTATGGGGTTCTTACTCCTTTCAAAGGGTTGCATCCCTGGGCCGTATGATTTTGCCTCTGTCTCCGGGCTTGCATCCCACTCTGTGAGTTTACACCTCTCTTCCACTTCTCTTTCATACTTGTCTGCCACTCTGTGTGCCTTGGGCCGCATGAGTTTACACTTGTCTCCCACACTTATCTCCCACACTTATCTCCCACACTTGTCTCCCACTCTGGGTGCCTTGGGCCGCATGAGTGTACACTTGTCTTCCACCTCTCTCCCACACTTGTTTCCCACTCTGGGTGCCTTGGGAGTTTACACTTGTCTCCCACTTGTCTTCTACGCTTGTTTCCCACTCTGGGTCTCTTGGGCCGCATCATTTTACACTTGTCTCCCACTTGTCCCTCACACTTGGGTGCCTGGGGCCGCAGGATTTTACACTTGTCTCCCACACTTGTTTCCCACACTTGTCTCGCATTCTGGGTACCTTGGGCCGCATGAGTTTACACTTGTGTCCCACCTGTCCCTCGCACTTGTTTCCCACTCTGGGTGTCTTGGGCCGCATGAGTTTACACTTGTCTCCCACACTTGTCTCCCGCATTTGTCTCCCACTCTGGGTGCCTTGGG